CTTTCTTTCTTTCTTTCTTTCTTTCTTTCTTTCTTTCTTTCTTTCTTTCTTTCTTTCTTTCTTTCTTTCTTTCTTTCTTTCTTTCTTTCAGAGCTGAAAGTGAAAGCCAAGCTTGCTGAGGCAGGTGGAAAACAGAGATAAGGCAGCTGCAACTGTTTGAGTGAAACCAGAGAGCAAAACCCAAACCTCTTTGTGGGAGGAGAGGGGAAAGGAGATGTGAGCTCCTGGCAGGGAAAGTGAGGAGGAAGGAGTACATGTTAGGAGGGAAAGGAATTGGGCTGCAGAACAAAGAAACCCAAAGGAGAACTGGAACATACAAGTTTAACAAGGACTGATGGCTGAGGTTCAGTTAAAGTCACTTGCAGAAGCTTTTCCTGGAGATGAGGCAAAATGATGCCGTGCTGAGGGGTGTGTGTGTCTTTTTCAAGCAATGTAGCACATCAGCGCTGCTCTGATGGTTCACTTTTTCATTTTTTTCTCTCCTGAAAACCTAAAAAGTATTTTTGAAAACCTTTTCATGCCAATTCCCCCACCTCCTTTGCGGTTTGTCCTTTGGACTCCACCACATCCTTTGCATGTGTGTCGTGTCTCCCTGTCTTTTAATTTGCTATTCTTGACTTATTTTCCAAACAAAGGGCAAGCAGAAGGGGGAAATGAAAGCCACCAAGGTTCAAAGGTAATAACAAACAGAAACAAACGAAAACGAAAGACAAAGTATACTCTTCTTGTTGTGAGCTGACTAGTCAGAGAACGTTGTTAGTGGGCATCATGTAATTACTGTAATTTCCCCCCAAAAAACAAACAATATTATGCTGGATGTTATCAGTCGCTTCTTGAGAAATTTCTCATTTCTAAAGAAAAACCTTCCCTTCAAACAAAGTTTGCTGAGGAAACTTTCCCTTAACCCTGAGTACACAGCCTTGCTGCTTTGCCTCTTTGTAGCTGTCCAGTGATATCAGCCGAGGCCGGCCCTACCACCTCAGGCCATGAATTGAATAAAGAGGAAACAAATTCTTCATTATACCATGTACTCTATGGCTGTATTTTTACTGCCAGGAAGGAGAGAGGTGTTTGTGAAATGTTCTGTAAGGTGCCAGAATTATATAGCTGAGTATGGGTAATATGCACCCTGACTTTGAGAGTGGGTAGCATTACTGTAGCTGTTTTATTTCATATACCACGGGCCAGCCTTGGACCTTTCCCCTCACATCAGGCCATAAGGCTAACTTCCAGGGTTCTCAATAATTCTGCCAGGTTGGAAAGACTGTATTGATTTTTGCTCCAGGTCAGGTCAAAACACCCAGAGGTGATAAGATTAGATAATCATACACCAAGCTTTGGATTTGGGCTGATGAGATACGCAGGGAGAGTTTTATGCATGCCCTAGTCACTGCTGAGCAAATGAAATAGGGGCCACCATTTAAACCTAAATAAAAATTATGAATTTGGTAAGCATGTGAGGGAAGGCATTTTCCTCATTTGTTCCCAGGCTGTGGAATGCACTGATGATTTGAACTCTAGACCTCATTGATTCTTATGTTTCCTTTGTCTCAGTGTTTGGATTTATAGAATTTAAAGAATTCTATTATCAAATTCTACTTATTTTTATGATGTTTTCAATCATGTTTTTCTGATCCCTATTAGCTACCTTGAGTTCTAGTGAAACGTGAGGTGGAAGTGTAATAAATAACAACAACAACATCCCTTAATGAGGTAATATCTTTTATTAGGCCAGCTGAATTCTCATCTTGAGACGCTTAACCAGGTACAGGCTCCATAGCTTGAAGATCGGCAGCTCCCTGATTTTTCGCTTTAGCGTCTGTCTGATGAAGATTTCTGTGAGACTCCAAGGTTTGCACAGTGTTTTGTGATCGTTTAGTTGTCTGAAGCAAGATTGTCCTCTCAGGGGGATTTTGGAGCTGTATGATGAAGATATGGAGCGGCCAGAGCTTCTTCAGACTGAACAGAAGCCAGAAAGTATATTAATTAGAAATACTGTGATCTAGATACACCCTGATCCTACAACGGGAACCTCTCTTGAACTGACATCTAGCAGAACATAGAGATATTGCCATACCGAATGAGGGTTTCAAAGTCCATCCATGTTGTCAAGTTGTGTCCAAAGGCCACCAGGAACGTTTGGCTGCCTCAGTCAAAACAGAGTGGCCTTTTCTTCATAAAAACATTCTGGACCTTTTGGTTTTTTTGAGAGTTTGGTCCAGGAGACCAGCCTATCTGGATTAGGAACTGGTGCTTTTCTGTAACTCTCAAATAAAAGCATGTTTGCGGGGTCTGTCCAAAGACATTTGGCAGCTTGAGATAAAGGGTCTCGCTTGATGGAACTCTCTTACCTCCGGTCCATGTTTCACATCAGAACTGGTTATTCATACTTAGCACTGATCATACTTGTCCACCGCACCTGAATTTTGGGACTGCAGCTCTTGAAATGGCCTTACTCCAAGGACAGAGCAGGGTTTCAAGGTTGCAACTGAAAGGACAGCTTAGGGGATACGAGTCTGGTTGCATGTTGCCTGCCGTATTCTCCTCTTAGCACCTTACTACTTCCTACCTCCCAGTATCCACTGCCTGAGGCAGCTGTCCAAGTCTCCCACCTGCGTATGTTGGACAACATGTTTGATCAAAAGGACCTTCTCAAGCCTATGTGTTGAAGTGTCTGAAGAGAAAAGCTAAGATGGACATCAGGGGAAAAATATCTTAACTGTTAGAGCAGTATGACAACGGAACCTAGGGAGGTGGTGAGTGCTCCAACGCTGGAGGTATTCAGGAGAAAACCAGACAGCCACCTGTTAAAATTTGCTTTGATCTGGGTTCCTGCAGGAAATAAATGTTACACAGTAGCACAAAAGAATATGAAATTAAAACATAAGAGTTTTTTTTAAAGCAAATTAAAAATGTTGGGTTGAAAACAAAAACTCTTTCTTTCTGTCCCACCTTCCTCTTAGTAAAAGGACTCAAGATGACATACAACAGCTTAAAAAAGTAGACACACACACTCACCCCAAAGCCAAAAGAACAGCACTTCAAGCACGAAAGTGACTAGAAAGTCCTTTTGCCTGATGTCTAAAAGATTAAATCCTGGTGTCGTGCAAACATTGTTGAGTTTCATAACTGGGACACCACAGCCAAGCAAGCCATCTTTTGAGTTGATGCTCACCTCTGTTGACTTTTGGTGATTGTTGACCTTTGATGAAGGAGGCGCTCAGAGAAGGGATGGAGGACCCTCAAAATATGAGAATGTGCTCTCCCAGGCACTCCCCTCTCCTTGTGCACACACCGTTAAGATAAAAGGTGTTCTTATTTTGAAAGGACCTGTACTTCTGCCTGGAACAGCTTGGCCCATGGTCTGAAGAAATGCAATAATGGGACCCTTGTGTTCTCTTCAGTCCACTGCTTCGCGGGTGGCTGGACCTCATTCAAAAAAGGCACACAACCTCTCTTTAGCATTGCAACAAGGATATAGCCAGCTTGAGGGGTAAAAAGGCTATTTAGCCTTTCCCATATGCTCATGACCACAGATGAGGTCTACTTGCGAGTCGGGTCATGGGGAGGCAACGGGCTCCACCCTTGAGAGGACGCCAAGACTGTTCAAGAAACGACTCCTCTAGACTTCTTTAACATAAGATAATGGCCATTTCCCTCTAGACTTCTTTAACTACACACTTGATCTTAGCCAAAAGATCTCGTGGTCTTTCAATGGCAACCATATTCTGCTACCAGTAAGGACTTTTTGATCCCTGGCAAGCCCTTCCTCCATAATTTTCTCAGCGACTTTTCTTCCCAGATCCTACATTTACATCCCCTGAGGTACAGAAGGGAACTCCTTCCGGATACCCAACATGCATAAGAGAGAAAGCTTCAAAACGTAGAGGACATTAAAGTTTTAGCTCAGTCCGTTTTGAGGTATTTCTGAGAGAAATATGGTAGGAATGTTAGCTGCTGCTTTGAAGAGTTCTGAATAGGAAGGCCAGGCACAAATTCTTCTTTCACATGTTGACTTTTCTGTTTGTCACTACAGCTTGCCTCAGTCTATGAAGCTAATCACAGGTAAAAGCAACATTTTCCTACTTCATATTTTCTAAAACACTCAATCCCTTCACATGGTTACAATATGTTATCAAAACAACGTTCTCCTGCACAATTCTGGAGCTCTTAAGTAACTAGCTACAATACCTAATCATTTGTGATTCATTCTTTTTTCCAGGTCATTAAGGTATTTTTTCTCTTCTTTTGTGCTGTACCTGTAACTCTTTTAGTTATGGTGTATGTTTGTGTGTGACCTCCCGTAACTATACAGGCACTGGCCAAAAGGGACTGGATGATTCTTGAATTTGGAGTGCAAATGTTCTGAGATTTGTAAGACAGAATTTTTCAAGTTCTTGGCATCTGCTCCTATTCATCATTCAAATATTTAAATTCTAGAGAGAGATCTTGTCTCTGCTGGGGAAGAAAATGGGGAAAAAACAAAATGAAAGCTGTAATGCTAACAATGTCCGAATTCCTATACCAAGGACAATTGGCTAAACTTCTCTCAAACCCCAAGGCCATTATGCCCTGCCTGCAGGCCCCTTCTTCAGCCTAGCCATCTCCAGATCATCCTCAGCATCTTAGAACTGCAGATGTGTCAGGCTACATTGTCCATTGGCCCTGTTGGCTGGAGATGATGTGATTTCTCCTGCAAACACAACGGTGTGTGTGTGTTGAGTTGGAAACGGCCGAGTCAATCCAGCAAGTTGGTAACACCCAGAGGGAAGCTATGACGGCCAGCTTTGCTGCTTATCTAAGATAGCCTTGATAACACAGTCAGGAATATTGCCCGAGACGATGGTGCCGAGTGAGCCACACTGGAAGCAAGTAAGCGCTTCCTCCTTAATTGCCGGCAAGCCAAGCTGAAGGCTGCCTCTGGCAGGGGCCACGTGTCTGCATGTTCGAATTAGCCAATCCTCATCCCGGATTGTGTTCTGACTCTCTACTGACCAATTAAAAGATCTTCCTCTATTCTACAAACAAGGGCAAGAGAGGAGTGGCGAGGACCAGCATGATCTGGAACACTTGATTCCTATTCCAGGTCACAGCTTACCTTGCCTGAGAGAGAGAGAGAGAGAGAGAGAGAGAGAGAGAATTGGCTGATGGTCATCATACTCTAGAGTACAGACGTTTTGCAGTGTGCATGTCCAGGGCAAACCTTGGGACTTCCTAAGATGGTCACGGTACAATAAAGAAATGGACACCGAAGGAGCAGGCTGCTTTGTTAAACCTGCACCATCAGCCAGGGCTGACCCATCCGTTAGGCAGAGGGAGATCACTGCCCGAAGCAGCAGATACAAGGGTCAGAATTAGAGATGGGCACTTACCACAGTTCAGCATGGTTCGCTGGATCAGACCCACGGGTGTGGCACGGGTGCCCCCAGATTCTGTGCCCCGACTCCTTCCATGGGCGCCCACTCAGATGAGGAGATGGGGCAGGGAAGCTGCTTCTGATGGGGCGCCTGCACAACACCAGTGGGTCCAGTCCAGTGAACTGGTAAGTGCCCACCTCTAGTCAAAACATTTCAGCATTCTCATTTAATGAGGGTGATATGTGCTAATCTTGGGTACTCCTGAATAGAAGGAAGCATTTCTTTCAAAGCAGAAATCTAGCATATCAAGGATTTTTTTTAAAGCACAGCCCTCTCCCTGTTCAGCTGCCTTCCTATATGCAGGGATTTCCCCATAAGGTAGCTTGACCTTTTTACTCCATCACTGTCCTGTATCGGATTCCAGTACCTTTGCTGAGCAGAATATTCAGATGGCATGGTATCACTACTAATTCTTATCCCAATACAGAGTTAAAACAAAAAAAAAGGTTTAAAAAATCACCCTGCAGATAGAAAGATAATGCATGAAGTTCTCTTTCTCTGTTGTGCCAGTTTTTTATCTGCAGGGAAATGTTATTTGCTTTGTTTTTTAAAAAAGAGAGCCAGTATTCTGGGAGTTGAACAGCCACCGTGTTAGTGTCTCCCCTTCCAGTAGGCTCCCTGTTGTAGAACTAGTTCTGCAACCAGTTCTGCAACCAGTTCTGCAACCTGTTCTGCAAGAACAGGCATGCAACACAGAGCCTGCCAGAGCTTGTGCAGTTGCCCTTCCACTCTGCATTTGGGTAATGCGATCCAGGTGGAAGGTACTTGAGCTCAGCTCTCGATTCGGTGGTAAGGGTCGTACCATGCCATCCAAACCCGCCGTGTGCTCTGTCCGTGTGCTTTTTTGGGACCCCAGCAGCCCAGCTCCCTGGGGGTGTGTGTGACAAATTTGGAAGGTTACGGAACTCCGCAAGTGCGCAAGCATGCTATTTTCGCTTCGGACGGAGCTGGTACAGTAGAAGCCTTGCATCGTTGCTCAGGAGTGAAAATAGACGGGGCTTGGCCTGCTGTCAGGCCAGAAGCTCATTCCCTCGGCGTGACCTTCCAACATATGGCACCGCAGCCTGTGATCGCTTGCTGTGTCATCCATTATCTCTCAGACAGGTCCCTGCATGGCGTTCCAAAGGTTATGTTGTTGTTCAGATAAAATAAATACAACAACCCTACGTCACCCTTTTCTAAAAAGAGCTGGGCCGCTAGGACAAGCTGTGAGAAACGTGTTTGCTCTCTGGACCCTGCTCAAAAGCCACACGTGACACAAAGCTTGACCCTAAACGCTGCGAAGACAGCTGGCAGCGGAGAAAATGTCTAAATAAAGACGTACGAAGCAGGTGTCTGTCCCCCAGTCCTGCCCAGGGTCCAGTTCGATAATTTTAAACTCTGGGCGTACTGGCGCACAAGAGCGTCCTTCAGTAACGTGTGCTTTTCTGTTTATTTCAAAACTGAGTTCTGCAACAATTTGGTCCAAACAACGAGTTATTTGTAATCTGCTCCTTTCTGCAATAATTGAGGCGTCACTCAGGGCTCATTTGGATAGGCATCTGTCCGGCTCTTTGGTGCCCTGTGGGTTTGCTCTGTTTGCAGAACAAAATTGTCCCCGGGACACCCCTTTGAGCCCCTGTCAGTGTGTGTGTGTGTGTGTGTAGTTTGCAGAACAAAATTGTCCCCGAGACACCCCTTTGAGCCCCTGTCAGGGTGTGTGTGTGTGTGTTTCTGTGTGTGTATGTACACTGACCCAGTGATCCTGTCTTGCCCTGCCTTGCCTCCTGCCCACAGCCCCCCTCCCGCAGGGTTGGGGCCGGGAAGGGCCGCCGACCTTGCCCTGGAGCCCTGGGGCCAACAACGCACACAAAATCAACACAAACCGTATCACCAAAAAATGCAACTCAGTTATAAAATAAAATATAAAATCTCATTGAACAGACTGGGAACAAATGAAACATATTATGTTTTATATACTACATAAATTATTTAGTATAGCATATTTTATATATAGTTTATAGATAAGCCAAATACAGTAAGAGCTCAGGAACTTTATATTTTAATATACGTGTAGTTTCATATTACAGGAGAGTGTTTCACATCACAGCAGCCTGCAGAATTCAGATTTTCTAAAGAAAAGTAAGTAAAAGTAATTACGCGAAGGCTTTCACGGCCGGGATCTAATGGCTGTTGTGGGTTTTTCGGGCTCTTTGGCTGTGTTCTGAAGGTTGTTCTTCCTAACGTTTCACCAG